TGACCATTTCCTCCCTATGGTCTCCCTTCTTATTGGCTTCTGTCCAGAAAATGGAGACTGAGCCTCCCCTACACTTGGATCTTCTCCCTTCAAACATGCTTTCTATTAGTTTTCTGTCACTGCTACAAGAAACCCCCACAAACTTGGTAGCTTGAAACAACAGTAAGGTATTCCCTGATAGTTCTAGGGGCCAAAATTATAGAATCCCAAATCAAGGTGTTACCAGGACCACGCTTCTTCTGGAGGGTCAACAGAAGAATCCATCTCCAGGCTTCTTTAGTTTCTGCTGACTACCAGCATTCTTTGGCTTGTGGCCTCATCACTCTAATCTCTGCTCTTGTTATCACATCACCTTTTTCTCTCTGTGGGTAATCTCCTAGTGCCTCTTCCTTATATGAACATGCAGGGTGATGCATTTAGTACTCACTCAAAAAATCCAGAATAATTTTTCCATCTAAAGGTTCTTAATCACATCTTCAAGAGCTTTCTTTTTTCAAATAAGATTAGCATTGGTGGGTTCTAGGGTTTAGGATGTGGATTTCCATATAGGGCTTCGACAACCAATTACACAAGCTTATCATTTATTATGACTCTCAACTCAGACCATATTCAGGGAGATGGGATACTCTTCCCAATAGACCTTCACTATTTTCTTACTTATTTTTGTTCTCCAATTATCCTTCCTATTCTTATTCCTGGATGCAAGGAAGGTTTGCTATTGTCCAGAACTACCTCAAATCTATTGAACATCACTTCTTCCTGTCCCAACAGAGTCTGGCCTTGCATGTCTGATGTGTTAGGAAAATCATCCTACTTATTCCCCCATTTCAACCAAAGCAATCAAAATAGAATAGATGTTCTAAAGAGGTTTTTCAAGTTTCTCTTATTCACAACTTGATTTTTTACCATATGGAAATTTTAAATTTTGAAACATGATGTTAAGAGAAAAATAGGAGGAAGAAAATGAGCATTGAAAATAATAGGGAGGTGAGCATGAAGTACTGCTCACCAAAAAATTTCTTCACCAGAAGACTGGGAAATGCAAAAGTGAGAAATCTTAGCAGTAAGGAAAGATGACCAGCGTGCTTTTGGAAACACATTTCTAGAAGATGGTTGAAGAAACTCACTTTAAACAATGTTTGTTTCATTGCTTTTCCCAAATTTGAAATTATACCCAACACTATATTCTATACCATTAACAATGGAAATTTTTAAAATTAAATTTCCTCATTTTAATTTCTTATCCAGAAAACAAATTTACATTTATAAATTTTTAATCTTGACCAGTTATATTAAGTTTTAATTCTCCCCTAAACCAAGGGTAAAGAAAGGAATTTAAAGCTGAATTTTTAAAATCCAATCCAATAAGCTTATTATAAATTTGAATGATTACTGTGTATATATTTAATATGATTGTTGGTGTGTTTGGTTTTAAATGGATTGTATTACTGTTTTTTCTAATCATCAAATTTTTTTCTTTGTTCTTTTAAGCCTTCTTGACTTATTTTAATTAATTTTTTTATTATTCAATCATTCCCTGCTATGAAACTATAAATATCACTTTTATCATTCTGTTGGCAGGTACCCAAGAGTTTCAATATGTATTGTTGATTAATTAAATTCTTCCATAAATTCATAATTTTATGATAATATAATAGATTCATCCCTACCCACTGATGACTTTTTCTGGAATCATGTTGCCAACTCTAATGTAGTCATCTAAGACCAAGGAGGTTATAATGTGGTGTCAATACAATCAAGGCATTGTAAGTTTTTATTAGAAAGCCATGATTAGCATATCTGGGATAGTCATATTGAGTAAAGACTATCATGAAGTGTATGACAGAATCTGATCTCTTGTTTTCTTTTGCTGTAGTCCACATACTCACTTCATGTTCAAGTGAATTTCACATTTAGAATTGCATTGAGATTTTGGTGTCATTTGTAACAATATAATATTTTGCTTACCCATTGGATAAATTTTTAAAAGTTTAATTTTCCTTTGGCCTTGTCATATACATTATCTGTAATTTAATTTAGTAACAATGCAATTCTCTGTGACATTTATTCAATGGAACTATAATATGATCCAACTCTTTCACTTAATTTTTTCTATTGTCCTCTATACTCTAAAAATAGTGAACATTATGTCTTTCCTTAAAAATCTACTACAGCTAATCTAATTTATTAAGGATAGGAAGTGATAGCATGAAAATGTATTTATTGTTACCAGGCCACTCATTTGTTCTTTGTAGATTGTCTTTCTCTTTTCCCAAGCCCAATCTTCCACTTAAGGAAATTAATCCCACAATCCAAAACAGCTTTCACACTCCGATCTGCTTATACAAGCTTAAACATGCTTGAAGACACCTCAAAAGTTCTTTCTACTCAAAAATAAGGCCTCTTCAACAATTTTTTAAGTCCTCATTAACAATTTTTAACAAATTAAAGCCATGGGACCCTATGTGGGTGAGGAGACAATGTTATAGGAAAGATAAATACCAAGTGCCAGTCTGGTAATAGCATCTAGTCCTATGCTTACAGGATTTAATATCTATGGTACTCTTCTAAGCCTGAAAAATATAATTGAAAATGCATTGTCCATATTACCTACAAAAAGTATTTCCCTTGAGGAAAATGCCAGAAAAATACAATTTTTTTTATCCTTAGCCATCCTTGACACAGGTACTTGCATATAATTAATGTTTAGTATTTGCTTGATAACAGTGAAAAGACTTGGTGAAAACCGATGAGAAAAGTTACTTCAATCATTTTAACTGAAATGACAGCACAGAACAATTCAAAAGAAAAAGGCTTATATACCAGTACTTTATTACAACTTAGTTTCATTATACAAAATATTCCAGAAATGCATTCCAAAAACTCTTATTGACTCAACAGTGTAAAATATTCCAGAGATCAACATGTAAACTTACAGCAGAGGCTTACCTCCTGTTCCAAAATCTCCAGGAAGGACCAGAGGAGATAGAGTCACAGCACATGTAAAAAAGCAACACATTGTTTGTACTCCCATTAATGTAAAAATTTTTGTAAAAAGTGTAAAATTTTTGATCCGACAATATCCCAGAGAAGGAAATACAGACTAAAATGTAGTCTACTAAAATGTGGGTAAGAAAACTGCTGAGAATAAATGGGGATGTGAATTACACTTTACCTTCAAGTGAGAAAAATTGGTGCAGAAATGGTCACTGTTAGTGATAATTGCTTTCACGTGCAGATTTTACGTTAGCTAATGATCATTATGCCAGTCTTTTTGTGGTACAATTTTTTCACAATTTTCTACTTCTGTGTAATGTCTGTAACTAATATCTGATTCCAAAGCAGAATTACTGCTTCCACAATACCGCGAGTGAACATTCCAAGATTCTGCCCAGCCACTAAGCAGGAGAGGCTCACCTGCTGCTCCAGAAGCTCCAGGAAGGTACAGAGGAGATAGTCACAGACCCGTGTGTGTGTGTGTTAAGCCCCTTCAGTTGTGACCGACTCTGATACCCTATGAGGGGCTCCACTGTCCATGGGATTTTCCAGCAAGAATACTGGAATGAGTTGCCATGCCCTTCTCCAAGGGATCTTCGAAATCAAGGAATCGAACCTGCGTCTCTTACATCTCCTGCACTGGCAGGCGGGTTCTTTATCACTAGTGCCATCTAGGAAGGCTTATGTAATTTTGTTGAGCCTGGACTATCTGATATGGGCTGAATCAGGTCCCCTCACCCCTAATTCACATGTTGAAGTCCTAATTCCAACTATTAAGCAGTATAACTGTATTTGGAGACAAGATCTTTAAAAAGGTAATTAAGTTAAAATGAGTTCTTAAGGATGAGCCCTAATCCAACATGACTGGTATTCTTAGAAAAGGAGATTAGGATGCAGACTCTCACATAGCAAGGACCATGAGAGAACACAGACAGAAGACAGCCATCTGCAGTCCAAAGAGAAGGATCCTCATAAGAAGCAAACTGCTGACACGTTGATCTTGGAATTCTAACCTCTAAAACTAGGAGAAAATAATTTCTGTTGATTAAAACACCCTATCTGTTGATACTTTGTCATGACAACCCTAGTAACATAATATAATGTTGCAAAAGACTAAGAAGGACCATTGAAAGCTATATGAAAGTTGAGCATAAATGAGAACATTATTACAGATTTGACAATGAAAAAATGAGATTCAGGACTCGATGAAATGGGAAGAGAGAAGTGCGTGTGGTAAGAGCATGTGCAGAGTGTTAAGACAGGCAACACAGGTAAAGCACTTTATCATTTATTATTTAGTGCAATAAATATCTTTACAATGTAAATATCTTTACATCTTAATTAAAACACCTGCCTGCAACTTCGTTCCTGGCTAACTTGAAAAAAATAAATATTTCCCCAATTTTGAAAGGCTTTATTCATTTTTTGTATCTAATTTCATCATAAGTTCATAATTTTAAAAATAATCCTAAATTTTCAACTTAGTGCTCTCATTCATTCTGAAAATAAACTAGTGGTTGATGAACTATCTTTAAAAAGTCCCCCACTTAAAATAACTTTCATGGCTTTCCTAAACCAAGGGTAAAATAAAGCATAAATCAAAGGGTTCATGGCTGAGTTATAATAGGCACCCCAACAGCAAATCTCATAAATATAGGCAGGGGTTATGAAACCCATAAAGGCATCAATTAATATATCAATTGTATATGGTAACCATGAAATCATAAATGCTACTACTGTGACCCCCAGTGTTTTAGCTGCTTTTCTCTCTCTCTTGGCCACTCTGGATTTATAGCTCTCTGATTCTGCTTTGCTGCCAGTGTTTTCAATTTTTAGAGCTTGTTGTTTAGCTACAATAAATATCCTCCCATAAAGAATTACCATAATGAGGGAAGGTATAAAAAATATCAGAACACTTATCAGAACCCATTCTTGATTTACAACAATTTGACAACCACCTATACAGTTGAGAGCACTTACTAATTCCTCCATCCCGTCGTCACTGACGCCCGTGAAGAACACAGCTCCGCTGTACACCATGGGCAGGATCCAGGAGATGCTGATGCAGACCCCTGATACAGACACCGTGAACTTGGTGGGATAGACCAGCGGGTCAGTCACAGCAATGTACCTGTCGATGGAGATGAAGCACAAGTGGAAGAGAGAAGAGTAACAAAATGCCACATCACAGGAGCTGTGAAGGGCACAAAATCTGGCTCCAAAGTACCAGCAGCTCTCCACGGACCTGACCATGCTGAAGGGCATCACGGTCACTCCCACCAGAAAGTCCGCGCAGGCCAGAGAGGCGATCAAGAAATTGGCTGGCGAATGCAGCTGCTTGAAGTGAAGAACTGAAGTTATTACCAAGAAGTTTCCAAAGATAGCCAATAAAGACCCAAAGCCAAACACTGTGTACAGAATCACCCGAGATGCAGGTGAGTAGGGAGATTTAATACAAGATCTGTTCACATTCTCATAGCAGAGCTGCACGGTATCAGGTTGGGAAAGATTGCTGGCCATGGTTCTGCAACTGGATGCTTGCTTTTTTTCTGCCCTTTGGAAAAATGGTTTAATTCTGAAAATTAAATAAATAAAACTGCATACTTGAATAGTGCTTTTTAAAACTTCCTCATATTACATCTATTTTCCATTTTGTTATGTAAAGAAATTAAAAGAATTTTTAAAATTCTGAAATTTAATCCTTCTGTGTTTATATAATTATTTCTCTGTGTCTAAATCTCATAGGTAGTTAACTCTAAGCAAATCTACTATGATTATTCAGAAATCACATTATCTGAATAACTGAAGAAATTTAATTTAAATACCTGGCCCTTCACACCTGTGAACTTCTTGCTTGCAAAGGATAGTCACATGCAAAATTGCACATTTAAAAAGTCACCTCTTAATAGACCTCCACCTTCATGTTGTCTGAAAAGTTAACACCTAGGGTGTTTTAGAGGGCCAGCCAATAAACTTTGCCCATTATAAATTCCTCACAAGCAATCCCTGTAGTGTAAGGTGTGACTGATGAAAAGAAACTTACTTTTGTTAATTATAAAGAAAAAGGTTTTCTGCAAAACATATTTTTCTGTGCCCTTTTACTTTATCAAAACACAATTTTCACATCCAAGAAATCTATTTTAATTCAACTGTTCCAAAATAGCCTCCTTCTGTATTTGGCAATAATGTTACCTACTCCCTATTTAAAAGACTGGCTGCATAATTTGCAGGGTCTGGGACAAAATAACAATTTGGAGATCTTTGTTCAAAAACACGAAAAATAGTGCCGTCATATTCACAAGTTTTTTCCCCTTCTCTGCAGTTTCTTGCCAAGATATTTGATCTTTGCTGTGGAATGCCTCACTCCCTTGGACATGGAGATACTAGCAGGTCAAGTGCAGGTCCTCATAGGTGCCTGGAGACCCTGTTCCGCAACTCAGGGGCCCACCCACCGCCAGGCTCCCCCTCCCACCAACCGCTGAAACAATAGTCCAGGCTCTGTTGGGGGTGAGGAAGCTGAGCCAGGCATCCGCCCATCTCCTGGGCCTGCCGCCTCAACCAAAGGCAGATAGACCCCTAGGAGGGCAGCCTCCACATGAGGATCCACACAGTGCATGAACTGGGGGTAGGTGAGGGGCTTGGCCCGCTGAGTCTCTCCGGAACGTGCTGTGGCCCTACCAACCTGAGCTGGGATGACATCTGCCTGCCTACAGTGAGACTGCCGGAGTGCGCGCCCGGCCACGGCCTCCCCGACGTCACGTCCGGTCCTCGCACAGGGCGGGAAAGGAATGGCAATGCTGGCAGGTCAGAGTAAGGAAGGAGATGCGGGGCTGGGCCCAAAGAGCCAGGGGGCGAGGCGCAGGTGGATGAAAACCCCCCCCCGGGGAGAAAGGGAAACGATCATAGGTAATGTGATTCCAGGTTCCGGGCCCCACACACGCTCCATGGTCCCTTCCGACTTCACATACAAATACAATTCAAAGGTAAAATTATTACAAATTCCCAAACTGCAGCAACAGACCTCAAAGCCCGGTAGCAGGGTTCAGTGATGCTGGACTAGCGGCAACCCATGGAAGGGCCCTGTCTGGTTTGCTTCTGAAACTAAATTATCTCTGTAACAGCAACTAAATGAAGCAAAGAATGTCAAGTAGAGGCAACTGCCAAACTATCTGATGGGACAGTTGGGAGCTGGGGGCCAGGCAGTTCTGATGGTAATAGACTTTCTGGACACAGAACTTTGGGGTATCCACAGGAAATCAGAGAATTACAGAGGAAGACTAAAGACTGTAAAGTGTTAACCACTCAGTCTTGTCCAACTTTTTGGGACCCCATGGACTGTAGCCCACTAGGCTCCTATGTCCATGGAATTCTCCAGGCAAGAATACTGGAGTGCTGTATTAATGTACTTTTCAAGGTACTGTACTGTAAGATTAAAAATGTTTTATTTTTTGTGCTTGTGTTTGTTTGCCTTTTATGTATTATTTCTGTGGAAAGTATTATAAACCTATTACATTACAGTACTATATAACCAATTATGTTAGTTGAGTACCTAGGCTAACTTCATTGGACTTAAACAAATTTTGAATATGCTCTTAGAACAGAACTTGTTTCTATGTAGGAGATTAATTGTAATTGTATCCCTCGTCTAAAATAAAAAGGAAAAATGATGTGTTTGTCTACAGAAAGAAAAAAAATGGATACTGGAGTGGGTAGCCATTCCCTTTTGTAGGGGATCTTCTTGACCCAGGAATTGAACCCCAGTCTCTTGCATTGCAGGCAGATTCTTTACTGCCTGAGTGGTACCATTCTGAGCCACCCCATTAAAGTATTTCAAGTCTGAGGAAAAAAGCTACCTTTGATCCTTTAAAGCAAATAGGGAGCAACCCTGCAAAATAAATGAGTGATGAAGAATTTTTTCCTTTACAGTATGTTTAACACTTAAAAATAAAAGCATAATCTGCCATTAAGGATAAAAATAGTGAAAATAGCTTCATATAAAAATGAAACAGATATTAAAGATGTGCATGAAAACAATTACTCAGTTAATTGCCATCCTAATTCTTCTGGGTAGTGCTATCTTTTCCTCACTCTCAATTCTCAAACCTAACTTGTTTTCACCCCACTCTTATTCAATAACATTGCCTCCCTATTTTCTGATAATATAACATACAGAATTTAAAAACTGAGAGGATATAAAGACTTGGGGTGCAAAATGGAAGCAGGAATCAAGGATGATTCCCAGGTGTTTAGCTTGGCAAAAAGAAAGATACAGTATGTAGGACAAAAAGTGCATTTGAGGGGAAAGATGATGGATTAAGTTGGGATTGGGGATAGGGACATAAAACTGAGGTTCTTCAGTGAGTAGTTTAGCCTACATACTTTTAGCTCAGGAAAAAAATTGTGCCTGATGTGATCATGTGGGATTCCTCAGCATACTAGTGTTTTTGTGGGCATAAGAGTACATGTGATTGCCTGTTATCATCTGCCATAAAGTGTAGGATATATCTGATACTCAGTAAGCACACAAAAAAGATCTTCATGACCCAGATAATCATGATAGTGTGATTACTCACCTAGAGCCAGAAATCCTGGAATGCAAAGTCCAGTGGGCTTTATAAAGCATCACATTGAACAGAGTTAGTGGAGGTGATGGAAAAAATTCCAGTTGAGCTACTTCAAATCCTAAAAGATGATGCTGTGAAAGTGCTGCTCTCAATATGCCAGCAAATTTGGAAAACTCAGCAGTGGCCACAGGACTGGAAAGGGTCAGTTTTCATTCCAATCCCAAACAAAGGCAATGCCAAAGAATGCTCAAACTACCACACAATTGCACTCATCTCACATTCTAGCAGAATAATGCTCAAAATTCTCCAAGTCAGGTTTCAACAGTATGTGAACTGTGAACTTCCAGATGTTCAAGCTGGATTTAGGAAAGGCAGAGGAACAAGAGATCAAATTGCCAACATCCATTGGAAATCATCGAAAAGCAACAGTTCCAGAAAAAAAAACATCTTCTTCTTTATTGACTATGCCAACACCTTTGACTATGTGGCTCACAACAAACTATGGAAAATTCTTCAAGAGATGGGAATACCAGATCACCTGACCTGCCTCATGAGAAATCTGTATGCAGGTCAGGAAGCAACAGTTAGAACTGGACATGGAACAACAGACTTGTTCCAAATAGGGAAAGGAGTACGTCAAGGCTGTATATTGTCACCCTGCTTATTTAACTTATATGCAGAGTACATCATGAGAAATTCTGGGCTGGATGAAGCACAAGCTGGAATCAAGATTGCTGGGAGAAATATCAATAACCTCAGATATGCAGATGACACCACCTTTATGGCAGAAAGTGAAGAAGAACTAAAGAGCCTCTTGATGAAAGTGAAAGAGGAGACTGAAAATGTTGGCTCAAAACTCAACATTCAGAAAAGTAAGATCATGGCATCTGGTCCCATCACTTCATGGCAAACAGATGGGGAAACAGTGAGAGACTTTATTTTGGGGGGCTCCAAAATCACTGGAGATGGTGACTGCAGCCATGAAATTAAAAGACGCTTGCTCCTTGGAAGGAAAGTTATGACCATCCTAGACAGAATATTAAAAAGCAGAGACATTACTTTGCCAACAAAGGTCCATCTAGGCAAAGCTATGGTTGTTCCAGTAGTCATGTATGGAAGTGAGAGTTGGACTATAAAGAAAGCTTAATGCTGAAGAATTGATGCTTTTGAACTGTGGTGTTGGAGAAGACTCTTGAGAGTCCCTTGGACTGCAAGGAGACCCAACTAGTCCATCCTAAAGGAAATCAGTCCTGGGTGTTCATTGGAAGGACTGATGCTGAAGCTGAAACTCCAATTCTTTGGCCACCTGATGCGAAAAACTGGCTCATTTGAAAAGACCCTGATGCTGGGAAAGATTGAGGGCAGGAGGAGAAGGGGACGACAGAGGATGAGATGGTTGGATGGCATCACTGACTCAATGGACATGAGTTTGGGTAAATTCCAGGAGTTGGTGATGGACAGGGAGGCCTGGTCTGCTACAATCCAAGGGGTCTCAAAGAGGTGGACACAACTGAGCCACTAAATTGAACTGAATTTACTGCTGTAATTGTAAGTTCTTCCTCTGCTCCTTTGAGATGTAAATCTTTTTAATAGCCTCTTCCTATTTTACAACCCACTACTGTCTTTCTATAGTACCTGACAACCATCCCTTTGAAATGTTAGCATCAGCTCCCTATTTTCCATTTCAGTTCACTTCAGTTCATAGCTCAGTCATGTCTGACTCTTTGCAACCCCATGGACCGCAGCTTGCCAAGCCTCCCTGTCCATCACCAGCTCCCGGAGTTTGGTTAAACTCATGTCCATCTAGTCGGTGATGCCATCCAACCGTCTCATCCTCTGTCGTCCCCTTCTCCTCCCGCCTTCAGTCTTTCCCAGCATCAGGGGCTTTTCCAATACTACTACTAGTGTGTTTCTGCTTTTTTCCAAGTGCAGATGTAGCACTGAAGAGTCATCCTT